ACCATTTTAAACATCCCCACATTGTGTGTATGAAAGGACAGTGAACCTGAAACAATTCTTTTTTAAATTCTTCATTTTAGCTTGTCTCAAAAGTTCTCAAGGGTGGGCCATTATGTCAAAGGAAGGAGTTGGTACCAAGGACTTTAAACAAATTCTCCTGAACTTTCACAATGTTCAAACTAAAGCAGAAGGAGCCAAGAAAGCTTGGGGGTAAACTTCTCACACTCCTATTGTGTCAAGTTGGCATAGAAAATATGAGATACAAGTAATACTGTATTATGCTATTATCTATATTATGTGGCATCCAGAATCTCCAAGAAGAATTGGGGACTCAGTTCTTTGCAAATGGCCTCTTCCCTGTTTATAATTTCAGTAGATCTAAATGTCATGAAGCCTGCCATTCCAACGATCTGAGATTCTCCTATGCCCCTTCATAGAAGTCATATATGAGCAATTCCTAATCCGCACTGCTTTCATCCTCAGAGCACTCCTGTAATATTGAAAAGTGTTATTATTTCCATTTTACAGAGAGCCAAGGCACAATAAGGCCCAGGTTCTCAAAAGAACTTAGGCACTTAAACCAATGAGAATGAATCCTTTGACAGTCTGGACCCAAGTGCCTTGACCAAGATCTGGTGGAGGAGTATCTTGGGTATTAGTCATTCATTCTTTCCCTCATACTACACCTTCTCATGCTGGACTGTCCCTTACTAGTACATATTGGCCAGAGATGAAAAGTCTGGTTGAGATAAGGGATCTGAACTCTGTCCAATTTTAGGGGAAGGATGGTTGGATCTAGGGTTTGGCCTTGGATTCATCTCTAATATAGTACATATGTTAAACAGTGGAAGTCACCTTGTGACTCTTACAGTAGGGGGAGAAAGAGGTAGGCTCAAATTACTGCAAATCAATGACTTTATTTTAATATGTATTTGGAAAATGGAAAGAGTTCATGCATTTTTGCACATTGCCTGGATTAGTGGGCTACAGTACCTTAAGACTTTGGTTTACAAGACAAGAAAGTAAACTTAACTTGGTCCTTTAGAGAAACTTTCATGATTACAGTATATGTGACTGCAAAAAAGTAAGAAGAGAACTTCAGAATACAATGAGGTCTGTTTTGAAAAGACGAAGTGTAATCATTTTCTAAGAGAAGCTTACTGAAGTGATTGACATGACCTATTGTATGAAGGAACTGAGCGACTTTGAGGATAGTTCCGTGGATGGAACACATTTTTAAACCAACCTAGCTTCATTTTATTTCTATTTTGTGACTTTTTGTGATTTTTATTTTGGAAATAGAAGGTATTATTTCCATTCAAAGAAAGCAGCCTCACTCCATAGTAAAAAAGTGTGAAAATACTTTTAGTATGCTTGAAACAATATAGATTGACAACTTAGAGAGTGACATCCTTTATTTGTCCAGAGAAAAGGTATATGATGGACAACCTTCTTTTACTCCACTTGAGCAATGTGCATGAACCCAGACTTGAATGGCTCAACTACTCTGGGACCTCAGAAGATCTTGAAGAAGACCCTAAGAATGTGTAAAATGGAGAAAGTGGGCAGTTCATTCTCCATCCCCATCCTAATCCTTCACAGAAAATACGAACAGAACTATTTAGTTCCTGCCAGTTGTGGTGGTGATTGGTGTGCCAGTGGGAAGAAGATGGAGAAGCCCAGAGTCCTCTTCAGAACCACAGAGAGGAAACCAAAATTTGACACAAATTTATACTAGGTCTTCTTCCTATCTAGGTAACTTGGTAGATGGACCACAAAATGGCACTTCTCCTCGGCCATGGGACATTAAAGTTCAGACTCCACCACTGTTTCAGGACGATACAAGAAAGTTTCGAATACCTCACTCTTCTTTAGTTAAGGTAATCCCCTATGGGGCAGTTAAAAATCAAGGACAGAATGCATTATTAATTAGGATACTAGTGCTTAGACGAGCATTTTATGAATCTAATGAGTTATTCATGGTCATAAAAGAGAGCTCTAAAATGTATTTTAGTGTTAGAATACAACTTTTCTTTATTGTCACATCTGTACAGTGTTCATGGTTTTATTGAGTTTTAGTAAAACGGCAAATCGGTGCAATTTAATTATTTCTAATCTTTTTTTCTTTAGCTACTTTAATTTATTTTTTGCTCCACTATTTATTAGAAGAAATGCTGATCTTTTTTTCTTTTTCTTTTTTCTATTTCATCTTGACAAAAATTGGCAGAACATTTTCCCAACTTTAAAAAAAATATATTATTCATAATAGAATTTGTCCAAAGAGAGGCAGAAAGCTATAGTTAGTTGAATCAGGTAAAATTTTAAAGAAACTATAATAAAAAAGAATCTCAGAATATTCCTTCTCCTCTTCTTCTTTTTGATGTGTTCTTTTTTATAAAATAATTTACTATTGATATTTTTTTGAATGGTCCGTTATGGACTTTTTCACTATTATTTGACAGTATGCTATTGTCTCTAAAGTTTAATGTAAAATGATTGCATGTTCCTTTCTTGATGGTCCCTGGTAGCTCTATATATGAACATCATTCTGATTTCAGGCATGCCACAAATGCCACGGTCATGGTAGATACAAATGCAGCGGGTGCCAGGGTGCAGGCTGGGTGAGTAGCAGTTATGGCTTCTTCAAGACAGCATCTCCTCCTCTCCTACTTCTCCCACCATCTCTTAATTCCTTTAGTTGGAGTTTTCTTTCACAAGTAATGTAGTGCTATTTTACTTACTATACACAGAATTTGGAATGGACATGAGGAGAGATATAAAAGATAGCTTTGTTTTATTCCTAACCTCTACAGTCCAAGGGCCCAAACCTACATTCTTGTTCATTCCAAATTCCCATCAGGAGCTCCATATATTCAGAATCTGCATGGCAAACTTTGAATGAAAAGAAGCCTATCTGGAAATCCAGCCATGGTGGGTAGAGATTTATTACACCCAGAACATTTCCCCTGTGTAGTTGTTACACTGGGTGAGTGTAAAAGCAGAAGTAGTTCTCTTTTCAGTTTGGTTCTTTGTTCCTATGTCTAGATACACAGAAGAGCAAATGACTCAATCTATTCTAACCTATTCAGATTCTACTTTTGAATTCCTGAATGTAAATTAGACCCAAACCCAGCAAAGTATGCGTTTTACTTGGCGTAAGAAGAATCTTACTGAGTTGTTCCCCCTCATGAATTTGGCCTTTTTTTTATATGCTTCTCCACAAAAGCTTGCAGGAACACTCAAAAGAGTTACCATTGTTGTACAGCTAAAGCAATTGTTTAGTTGCATCTACTCTGATTAAACACAGGTGCATCTGCAAAGCAGTTTACTAGTCGTTACTTACATGCACATCTTGCACCTACGTGACATTCATTTAATCTCGGAACACTTGCCCACTTATTTCAGGAGTGAATTTTATCAAGACATCTATAATAGCCCCTTTCATGTGAATGACACTCGAGCTACCCTCCATTCTGTTATTGTGCAAAGGACAAACATAACGTTTTGTTTTTTTTTTTTGCAGAACCTGACAGAGCAGGGCTATGTTTAGAAAGCATAACAAGACCTTACATGTGAAGTCTTGTTTGCATAAATCTGAAACACTGTTGACCTTAGCAGCATGAGGCATATTTTATATCTCTGGTATTTTTAGATGAGGTGCGTTTCTTGCAGTGGAACACGACAGAGGAGAAAGCAGCAAAGGAGGTGTCAGATGTGTTCAGGGACTGGCCGGAAAAGGTAAAATGGGCCCAAAGGTGGATCCACAGTGGGTGTGGTGGCATGGCTGCACTCCCTTTGGGACTATGCTATGGGAGCAGCAGCTGCTGACATGTTTCTCAGTCCCCAAGGCAGGTAAGGTCCCCCACCTTCCCTTTTCTCCATGCTAAGAGGCAACTCCCTTCCCCTTGTTTGCTCGCTCCCTGCCTGCTACTGCCACTGTCCCTGGATGACCCAGGGATAGTGGGGATCTCCAGAAATGCTTATGTCCTGCTCTGGCTGGAACTGCAGGGAGCAGATCCCGAGACAGTCAGGCACTGTGGCAGCAGTGGTGATGGGTGGCTTCCCCATCTTTGCCAGATCCCCCCAAGTGTTTCCCACCAGCCCAGAAGCAGGGACTTGACTGTCACTGCTGCTGTGCCTGGATTCACTCACAGTACTGATGGGGCCCACTGGAGTGGCTCTGGAGCTCCCCTCCATGCAACCTCTAAGGTCAGCCAGGGACAGCAGCAGTGGAGGGGGAGGCAGGGGGGGAACAAGAGGGAAAAACAAGTACTGCTGAGCAGTTAGGGGGGAAGGGAGTGGGTGATGAGAGCAGGGGAAGACAGGATCTTACCTGATTCAGGGACTTAAAAAAACAGTCCCTAGCTGCTGCTCCCATGGCATGGCCTACCTGCCTAGCGGGTGGGGGGGAGGGGCAGGGAGGAGGAGGCTGGGAGTAAGGGAGCAACCACCCCTGAAGTGCCGTCTGTACTCCTTCATCTCCCTTCCCAAAAAGTTATCTGCCTATTATCTGCCTATCCATGTTTTACAACCATTGCTCCATAGGCATTGCTTTGCTACAATAATTGCACCCAGTGAAGAAGAACAGCAAAACCTGAACATTTTCCTTTGTATGCACAACTGCAGATGCTCAAGTGGAATCAGCTGAAATGTTGCCACTGGAATCAGTAGAACTATGCCAGTTTTCATAGATTCATAGATGTTAGGGTCGGAAGGGACCTCAATAGATCATCGAGTCCGACCCCCTGCATAGGCAGGAAAGACTGCTGGGTCTAGATGACCCCAGCTAGATGCCTATCTGACCTCCTCTTGAAGACCCCCAGGGTAGGGGAGAGCACCACCTCCCTTGGGAGCCC